GCCTGTGAACTACACGAAAAGGTCACAAAGTAAAAACCTCAAAAATTGCACATAGCAATGTGCAGCACAAGTGTATACATACTTACATAGTACATACATAATAATATATGCAAGCTCATCTTGAAAATTTCGTTAGCGCAATACAGGCTTTTCTTTATTAGAGATGGGACGAACTCACGGTCAGCTGATATAAATGCCACATTGAAATATAAGGTTAAAGTCTAAATGGAANATGCAAGCTCATCTTGAAAATTTCGTTAGCGCAATACAGGCTTTTCTTTATTAGAGATGGGACGAACTCACGGTCAGCTGATATAAATGCCACATTGAAATATAAGGTTAAAGTCTAAATGGAACAGGCTGTGTGACGCTTGAAACCAAAACACACCGGCTCGCCTTTAACTCAAACGAAATGCTCTATTCATATATCAATAGAAACGTCTAGAATTTCTATGCTGTATCCCGTAAGCTCATATCCTGCGCCCTTCGTCGTATTGTGCCGCGATATTCCTTTATGAAATCCTTTTACAATACGAACCGTGAATAAGGAGAAGTATTGCGAGGCTTACTGCGCGCTTGAGCTCTTTGTACGTATAGAGGAATAGTTTTATTAGAAAAGATTAGGGCTCACAGGATAGAATCAACGGGAGTTCGACACTCGTATATACCTTTTGTTTTATATATATGTAATATGTTAATATATGTTATGTGTTTGTTGAAACAAAACAAAATAAAGTTGTTGCTCTGTAAAAGAGTTATTTATCTTATGAAAAGAAAGATTTGCAAACACTAATTTAATATCCATTGACAATTTTTTATAATATCGATACCTTTTTGTCGAACTGATAACGAGTTTTATAATATTTTTACGTTGGATATACTGAAAACCAAAATGAGAACAAAACGAGTACATAAAATATAAGCTTAATCTTGAGTTGTAATTGATCAATTTACTTATTGAGCGAGTAGTGCATGCTATTATTGTCCAACTTGAGCCATGAGTTATTATTCTCTGGCAGTGACAACTTAACCTCAGTGGACTAGACCACTTGGATTCAGTCAATTTGTTGAAATATTTAGTATTCGATATCTCTGCGTGTTTTTTGTTCTAGTCTTCAGACTGAATGACATATACTTAATCTTGCCATGAATAATGTTACAATTAAAATAAACAAAATATTACATTTGGATTCTGTCATTTTTATATGATTGCTCATTGAGTTTTCTCATTTTTGAGCCAATACATTGTACAATATTTTACGATATTAAAATGGAGTGGGGTGACAAAGAGAACCGAATCGCTGTGATTGCATTACACAAAGTAGGTATGGAACCAAATGCAATTTTTAAAACTCTGCATACGCTTAGTATTAGTAAAATGTTTGTGTACCGGCCTATTAATAGGTGCAATGAGACCTCCTCTGTTTGTGACAGAAAAAGATCTGGCCGTCCACGTAGTGTTCGTACGAAAAAGGTGGTCAAAGCAGTAAGGGAAAGAATTCGAAGAAATCCTGTCCGAAAGCAAAAGATTTTATCTCGAGAGATGAAGATAGCACCTATAACCATGTTGCGTATTTTAAAAGATGACTTAGGACTTGCAGCCTATAAGAGACGTACGTGGGCACTATCCGACTTCAGTGATGGTTTGGTGGGGTATTAGCTATGAAGGAGTGACTGAGCCATACTTTTGTGAAAAAGGTATCAAAACATCGGCACAAGTGTATCAAGATACCATTCTTGAGAAGGTAGTGAAGCCCCTTAACAACACCATGTTCAATAATCAAGAATGTTCCTTTGAGCAAGACTCGGCGCCAGGTCATAAATCTCGGTCTACGCAGTCTTGGTTGGAAACGAACATTTCGGACTTCATCAGAGCTGAAGACTGGCCGTCGTCTAGTCCCGATCTTAATCCGCTGTATTATGATTTATGGTCAGTTTCAGAGAGTACGGCTTGCTCTAAACCCCATGATAATTTGGAGTCCCTAAAACAATCCGTACCATTGGCAGTGAAAATTTTTCTCGTGGAAAGAGTGCGTGCTTCTATTGATAACTGGCCTCAACGTTTAAAGGACTGTATTGCAGCCAATGGAGACCACTTCGAATAATCTTTTTATACTTTAAATTGGTTTTATATTTATGTATTAAACTAACACACTGTAAAAGTAATAAATGTTATTTGCCATAGAATAGATTTATAGATAGACATAGATTTTTTATTTATTTTTTATTGTAACAGTATTTATGGCTAGACTAAGTATAATCTTATATGAATACGTCCTTCTGGCACTCATAATATGACAGAAAATCCTATCAAAATATGGAACGTTTATTTATTTACTTGATTCTATTAGCACAAAGAACTTTCTTCGGACCGGAATGATTATTTCGCGGCAAAAACACAGCAGAATAATGGTAACTTCTCCGTAAAACGTTCAATATTGTATTATTTGTAACAACGAAACAAGGGCAGTGGGAACTACTATTTGACTTTCTAAAGTAAATTTGCCAGTTGTATAATGTTTCTCTGAAACTGTGAATATTCAAAGGAGGTGGACTGCTCGGGGCAAACATCAAATTTCCTCACACGACCGTGACTTTAATAATTGATCTGTCACCCGAAAAACTTTTATATTTCCAACACGATTGAGTCCAAAGTCGTAACGACAGGAAACCCTCGTCAATATTTACGGAATACCCGTAAATATTAATAAAAGTTACGTGGGTACGGATCTATTGGCTTTCGACATCACTGGATGGAACCCTCGTTGAAATATGTTACACATAATATTTAGTAATTTAAGAACGGATTGTATGGAGTAATGAAAGATATGGAGCATGACTGAGTGAGAGAGATGGGAGATGTCGTGTTAGGTGGTAAGAAAGACGGCGAATGAATGTTGGACACATCATTTTATTTTTAAGCGAAAAGAGGAATGTGGGTAGTTGCCAAACGCAACAGTGTACAGGCGCAGTGTAACTCTGAAGACGAAAGACTTTTATATTTTAAGATAGTAAGTAGATTAATTAATAAGAAAGACCGAATAAAAAATCCAGTTTGTGTGAAGACCTCAACTGTTTCATTGGCCCAAAGCGAATAGATGATCCCACAGTAATATGTACCATTTAGTATTAACTATACACAACTAATTATAGCGACTTCATTGATGTTTGGCACCATGAAAAACTAACCGCTCCAACCTTGAAAGACAGACAGAAATAGGAACTTTCGTATTTGACGATGTAACAATCCTTTAGCCTGTAATCCTTAGAGCCGTACTCCAAAGTGACTCGACTGAAATTATGTTAAGGTTTAACTCAAGGTAGCCGCGAAATCGGTACGTAATAAAAAAAATACTTTCAAAACTGCAATGTATTCTGTCGAATGAATGAATGAGAAGTATTGTATACGAAGTATTAGTGTAACCGTGCACGTATATCTTATTTTCAGGCGAAAATTATAAACAAAATTCCATGATAGTGTAACGCCGGTAAGAGTAGCGCCATCTATCCGCGAATAGCCGAAACAAATATCAAAGGAACTAGTAACGTCGAGAACGCTCGAGAAGTACAACGCCATCTATTATCAGATAGCGGAAACACACATCGAAGCTACTCAACTTGCCCAGAATGTTCTTGATAAATCTAGGGATGTCGTATCGACTATAAAAGCGTTGCAGATATGAGACGAAGGTAAGTAATCGGAACGACTCGAAGCGAAACAGCGAACGGATCACCTGAAGCGAAGCGGAAGAAGTTAACTACAAGTTGCAAAGTGTTCGTTAGGTATTTTATTACATTTTAATATCACATTATACAGTTTTAATTTGTACTTCGGTAGAATTTTTATTTATCCTAAGCCTCAACGCGTAACAATACTTTAGGTGGGGTATTTAATTATCTTTTTTTTAAAGCGCTTTTCGTTAATAAGAAATAACAAATATGCCAGTTTAAGACTTAACGTAAGTGTCGAAACACAAAAGCTCTCATTGAAAACGACTGTGTAGTTACTTATTCTGTCATTCTCAACAAATGCAAATACACATACGCAGAGAAACAATGTTGTGAAGTCTGTAATATCGCCCCTAAGCATCGAAATATAGTTAGGAATAAATTATGGCGCTTTTTACTAAAAGAAACGCACGCACTTGAAGAACTGCGATTCACTTGGAATTTTTCTCACGCATAATTTCCTATTTAAGCACTTTTTTCGCTTTTCAAGCTTGTAAAATATTATTTTGGAGTTGGTAAGCAATCCAGCTCATGGGCCACTTGATGTTAAGCGATTGTATTATCAAGCGGCTGTCATACCAGATGTCGTGCTGCAGAAATTGAGATGACGGTAGTACCTACCCTTGGCAATAATAACTAATTATAACTGGAAAAAAATCACTCACGGTCATCCGGCCTCAAATTAGGATTTTTTGTGTTAGGGGCACCAGAGACTAACATACATACATATATACGTTTAAATATATGGTACTGCAGGGTAGAGAGGGAAGAGGTCGACCGCTGGAGACACGGATGGAGTATGTGAAGACGATATGAGAGAAAGAGAGGAGTGAGTGTTGACATGACGGCTGATAGAGGAGAATGGAATAGAAAAAATTAGTACTTAGATTAATAAGATGGAGACAAAGAAGAAGAAGGTTTTTTTTTTTTGCTTAGATGGGTGGTCGAGCTCACAGCTCACCTGGTGCTAAGTGGTTACTGGAGCCCATAGACATCTACAACGTAAATGCGCCACCCACCTTGAGATATAAGTTCTAAGGTCCCAAGTATAGTTAGTTACAACGGCTGTCCCACCCTTCAAACCGAAACGCATTACTGCTTCACGGCAGACATAGGCAGGGTGGTGGTACCTTCCCGCGTGGACTCTCAAGAGGTCCTACCACCGGTACACATATGTAGATAATAAACATCCAGATAAACCACAAAGCAACCTGTTCATCACACGTGAATAAAATTAATAATAATAATAAGGTTACATAAGTAATTCTCACCTGATGACCAACGTAGCAAAGAGCACCGCCAGCAAGGGCAGCAGGGTCCCGAAGCAGGCCAGGAACAATGTCTGGACGTCCGTGAAACCTGAGAACACAGACAAGACTGCGACAGGTCACGTGCCAACATGTGTGTTCAAAGAAATATTCATCATCATCAGACCATTTGAGAGTTAGACCCAGTTTTTTTCCTGCCTAATCGCTGGGAACCTAAGGGTCTATTCCAACTTCGCACAGATGTGTGGGCTCACGGGCTCAACCTGTTCATGATTGACTTCCACGGTGAAGGAATAACATCGTGTAATAAAAATCAAACACGCAAAATTATAATTTGCGTAATTATTGGTGGTAGGACCTCTTGTGAGTCCGCAAGGGTAGGTACCACTACCCTACCTATTTTCTGCCGTGAAGCAGTAATGCGTTTCGGTTTGAAGGGTGGGGCAGCCGTTGTAACTATACTTATACCTTAGAACTTATATCTCAAGGTGGGTGGCGCATTTACGTTGTAGATGTCTATGGGCTCCAGTAACCACTTAACAACAGGTGGACTGTGAGCTCGTCCACCCATCTAAGCAATAAAAAAAATAAAGACACGAAAAATCAACTCCAAAAAAGTTAGTTAACTTTAAGAACTATAAAATCTGCGATTTGCGAACAAGGGGCAGATCCACAAGTATTTTGGCAGCAATCCAGGTCGAGCGCTTTTAAGAAGGTCGGAATATTCAAAAGCGGCTCACTACTAATATATTTACATAATAAGTCCAGGCATCGACCGAAATAATATATTAAATTGATTAATAGATTCAGAATTTTGTGCGAATTCGACTTTTAATAATTTATACAATCACTAGCTGGCCCGGCGAACGTTGTTTTGCACTATAAATTATTGATAGGAAAGATAAATAACCTAGATATCGACTGCAACGCCATCTGCCGCGCTGATTTGTAAATCTAAACTATTCTCGAATCCATCTGAAGGGCGAGAGATCAAATTGATTGATTCTCTACTCTGACCGATATGCAAAATCGGTTGAGCCGTTTCGGAGGAGTTCAATCACGCACATCGTGACACGAGAATTTTATATATTAGACAAAAAAGTCACATTAAATTTATTTGTAAGCTAGCTGACCCGGCAGACTTCGTAGTGCCTGAATCGATAAATAAAAGACTTAAACTTCTGTACAAAATAAACATAAAACAAACAATAGGAATCCGTCCGACGGGGGACACATCAAAGGGAAAAGAAAATTGTTATTTTTGTTTAATTCCGATTATTTTCATATTTATCTACCTTTTAAGCCTTCTCTGGACTTCCACAAATAATTGAAGACCAAAATTAGCCAAACCGATCCAGCCGTTCTCGAGTTTTATGAGATTAGCGAACAGCAATTCATTGTTATATATAGAAGATAAATCTAAGTACATATTACTTACACTCTGCTACATATAATTGTTTGTTAATTTGTTCATCTGCTTAAACTTTATCAATCAATCCAAAAATATATTAGTACAATCTCGACCTAAGCTATGAAAAAAAAGCAATAAGTTTAGATAAAAAAATGATCACGAAAAAAGTTAAATTAAAATGAAAAAACTAAAATCGAGAGTTTTCGTACAATCAATACCAAAATATATTGGTACAACCTCGGCCTAAGCTATGAAAGAAAAGCCAAAAAAAAACAAAATGTGTGCAATTCACACGTGGTAGAAGTGAAACCTTCCAAAATTAAAATACAATTATCCTAAACGTCTTAAGTATATGTAAAATTTTGTCATTAGTAAATAATTGTAAGGTAGCGCCCTCTGTGAATTGATATTTTAATTTCACGTATAATCCTAAATTAAAATTCACTACAAGAGCTTTCATACACACGTTAGTATTAAAAAATCTCACAGATGGCGCTGTATTAAATAGTATGTATATTTCTGTCTCATTCTTTGCTGGCTTCATCCTACACATTTTTGTATTTGTGTCTCTTACCTGTCGTTTTTTCCGTTGCATACGGTTTGAAATCACAACGATTCTAAAGAAGTTTTCATTTCAAAAATATGTAAAAAATGGTCACGAAAAAGTTAAATTAAAATGAAAACTAAAATCGAGCGTTTTCAAACTAACATGAGCAAAAAGTTACTGGATTGTTGTACAACAAATCTAGGTCAATTGTAAAGAGCCGTGCGCTAACTTATACTTGAAACTGGGGCGATTCTGTTACTAAACGGCTGCCCGAAGCTACGTAATGCGGTCAATTATATTTTGTTATTTAATTTAACTATACCGATTTATTTTTTGTAAAATTTGTTTTGTCCAAGTAAAAATTTCTTGTGTATTTCGGATCCGCGGCTGTGTAGTATCACCCCAGAAAAGCACAACTCCAGTTCTTCTCGTGGATTTCATACCAACGACTAAGAAATTGACCGGAAAATTAACGGCAGCGTTTTTTTTTTTTTTTGCCTAGATATGTGGACGAACTCACAGCCCACCTGGTGTTAAGTGGTTACTGGAACCCATAGACATCCACAACGTAAATGCGCTACCCACCTTGAGATATAAGTTGTAAGGTCTCAGTATAGTTACAACGGCTGCCCCACCCTTCAAGCCGAAACGCATTACTGCTTCGCGGCAGAAATAGGCAGGGCGGTGGTGGTACCTACCCATGCGGACTCACGTGAAGTCCTACCACCAGTAATTACGCAAATTATAATTTGGCGGGTTTGCTTTTTATTACACGATCTTATTCATTCATCGTGGAAGTCAATCGTGAACATTTGTCGAGTACGTATTTCATTAGAAAAATTGGTATCCGTCTGTGATTCCAACACCGGTGCATCGCTCAACACGAATGCATCGTACGACTTCGCAGTATCTAAGTATTATATTATACTATTGGACTACGATCTACTATTGTGACCCAGCACACCCGCAAGCTTCCTGTCCATTTCTGTCGTTAATCAATCATACGTCCCATTTTGAAGAACCCGACTGCCGTTATACAGGACTATTATGTCTACGGTTTCATATCTGAAGTTAAGCTCCATTCCCATTTGTGATACCTATAAGCCGTGAAAACAATCTAGCATCAAGAATGTCGACTAGTGGCAAAACAAATCGTTTCAATTTTAACGCTAACCCGCCTAATACGGTCGTAGAATACGTGAACTGTTTTGTTTTTCATTCACACTGAATTTTGTCTTCTATAGTGGTCAGCGTTTACAGTACGAAAGAAATCAACTAGAATTATTTTTAAACTGACACTTGAATATATTACAAAATTTTACTATCTCATATCTATAGTACTAGACGATGACCGAGCATTGCTCGGGTTTTTTTTTTTGATAACGCCATCTTGTTGTGTCTTTAAAGCGGTTATTTGCCCTTAATAAAGAAAAATAGTATTATTATTCGCCAATAGATGTCGGGATGAGTTGATTATTGAAAACACGAATAAAATAACATTTTCTGAAAATAATTCGTAGCTAGATCGATTTATCGCCCCCGAAATCCCCTGTATACTAAATTTTATGAAAATCGTTGAAGCCGTTATATACAAGAATTGCTCGTTTAAGATTCAAATCATAGTCGTAACCAACTGTATCTCTATGCTAAAGTATCTAAATTCCTTTCGCTGTCATCTGTGTCGCCTTCTTCGGGAAATCTCTCGTCTGCAATTCCAAGCACTAGCCGGACCTAATATGAAGGCAGCTAGACTGATCGTCATAATTATAGCGCAATATTGAAGGGAAAAACAGTAATTTAAAAATTTACGTTTTAACTAGTAAAACATGTTTCTTTTAGAACTAGCTTTCCTCTACGCATTCGCCTGCGTGGCGACCCTCTAGACCCGTGAGACCTTGGATCTCATGTCTCAAGATGGCGGCATTTACGTTGTAGATGTCTATGAACTCCGGTAACTTAACACCGGGTGTACAGTCAGCTCGTCCACCCCTTTAACCAATAAAACAAATAATAATAAAAAGATCCACGCTCTACAGTCGGATGGGAAGTAGCCTATACCTAATTTCATTAAAATCTGTTCAGTGGTTCGAATGTTAAAACGTAAGAAGGTAATAAGAGTTGCTCACGTAATATAACATCTAATACCAAAATTTATAAATGTAATTTCCAAATGTCTTTGAATGGCAACTTTTTTCAACATCTTATTATGATGAAAGCCTATTAAATTCTGCTCCTAATTAATGTCCGGAAAACTGTAATAACACAGACGGACAGTAAATAATTCTATAAATTTCTTGCTTCTATTTTAATTGCTTTTCTTCAATGTACACATCGGATACTTCTGTTTTCATTATATAATTCATAATACATATACAATAATATCCGAAGCTGATCACTGATCCAATTATGACAAGAGTAACTTGAAGACAGTATGAATATCGTCATTTTCTTTGAGACGAAATCCTACGTGTATCAATGCAGTAACTTCCCTATACCCTCGACATTACTGGTACTTACGATTAATGGTAACCACTTACCGTTTGATGAGTGAAACACTGTCTGCCATTAACAATAACAGATGATGATAAATGCTAGTAAAATATATAACTAGATGATGACCGAGCTTCGCTCGTTTTTTTTTTGATAACGCCACCTTGTTGTGTCTTTAAAGCGGTTAGTTGCCCTCAATTAAGAAAAATAGTATTATTATTCGCCAATAGATGTCGGGAAGAGTTGATTGTTATAAACACGAATAAAACAACATTTTCTGAAAATAAATCGATCGATTTATCGCCCCCGAAATCCGTTTCCGAGATTCAGATTATATACATATATATTAATATACAAGAATTGCTCGTTTAAAGGTATAAGATAATAACATTTTTTTCTATTGGATTCACAATTATGAACAATATATGTTAGCGTTCTTAAAATAAATCTAGGATTATTCCGTAAAATTCGAATTTAACTTGAAAATCACTGCCCAGATGGGTACGAATAAATAATAACATAAAATAATCTTATTTAGTTACAAAATATGAAAAGCTAAAATATTACTACCTGTTTCGAACAATATTAATTTACCCTTCGAATTAAAATTAAAAGCTTCTCCTTGAACCGAGCACTGAAAGCTCGCATACGAGGGTAGCCTATTTATGAATTATGTATAAAGTGTAGATGAAAAAGCTTCATATGTAGCCTCCGCGTCATGTAGAAGGTTGGAGTGTTATTTATTAACTTATTACGCTTTCTGCTCTAACTTTTAAAGGTATTAAATATAATAATATGAGCATATATATATTATGATTCGTAATTTTATAGATATGCCGGTCGGTGCATCGAAGGTTTTTTTATAAAAAAATTTATTGTCCTTACAGGCAGACGAGCATATGGCTCACCTTTTGGTGAGTGATTACAGTCGCCCATGGACGTCATCAATACCAGGGGCAGAGCCAACCTGCTGCCTGCCGTGCCCTGTCCTTGGCTCCAGATCATCGAGAAGATACCGTCCATTTTCAGGAATGACTTCCAGGATGAAATTTTATCATGTAATATATGGAAACGCGTAAAATATTTCATTTACTTTTGTAAAGTATGGAGTTATATTACAAAATGATTGTTAAAGAACAGTCTTCGAGTTACAAAAGACCTTAAAAAACGGAGACATTGATTCGGAATAGACAAGAAGTAGGCAAAGTTAACGCGTAATTATTGTTAGATATTGGATTCTGCCGCGAACAAACCGCAAAAATTTGACATTTCGCACACACTTCACACTTGTTGAAGACTATGCGCTCAAGTGTCCAATACAAAAAGAACCTTTGTGAATTGGACCTAATTTATTACGTAAACATACTTTATCGCTACAATCTCCGGACTGCGCGGTATTGCTACATGAATATTGTACGAAGGTCCCTAATTTGTCACGTTTACGGGCACAAAGCGGACCTCGAACAGACACTTGTATTGTTTTGTTATTTAACACGGATCTAACCCTTTGATTTCAATGAGTATTAATTTATTAGTTGTAGGGCGTGACCTTCATTCTATATATATTGTATATGTACATACAACGAAGCCATCAAGAGTTACGATTAGACGTTATACAATTGAGAACTCCATGAAAGTACACTCAGTGCATTGCTATTAACAATGTAAGGTTGCGTTTTTATTGTTTATTTCTGTGGATAAACATAGGAGTTACTGTCCCGAATACTGTTATGTGAATACTGTTATCCCGAATACTCTCTCTCTCTCTTGCACTGTCATTTCCATACATCTCCTAGTCAGATGCATCTTGTTTCAGAAAAATAATAATGGAGAAAACATATGTAATTAGGGTTATCTCCTAGTCAGATGCATCTTGTTTCAGAAAAAAAATATTATGGAGAATACATATGTAATTAGGGTAATTTACAATCACATAAACCAATCAAACTGGAACTAACCAGCGGATTCTCAAAGCACTACAATGAATACTCACTTGTGTCCGGCGCTAGATCGTTATCGACTTCGTGTCCGGTTATGTTCAACATATAGGCACTTCTGTTCTCTTTACCGGCTTTCACCACTTCGACAAGTTCAACGTAATCCAACTTCTTGAGCACATCACCGACGCCTGCATCTCTACTGGTTTCATTAACGCCAGTTTCACTCTCGTTGATTCTAGTGGCGATCAAAAATTCGAAAGTCGGCACGCCTTCGACGAATTCTGAATCGGGCTTGAACAGTAAATCGGTGATAGTATCATCTCGGTTAGTTTCTGAATCGATTAAATCGTCTAGCAGCGCTGATATGTTTCGTTTTTCGTTCGACACACGCTTTTGAGTGTTGCTGTTCTGTGATAGTTCCTTGTCCCGCTGTTGTTCCGAGCTGACCATTGCGTCCGCCTCCTTTAAATCATCAATTTCTGCTTCCTCGTCATTGGCGACCACAAGAGTGTCAGAATCAGGATTTATTGGAATAAAGGTATGGTTATTTGAAAATTTTATGATGATATCTGTTACGTTTTCAGGGTTCGGTCGGGCGTTAACGATAAATTTAGCGAGAATCAGCTTCAGTAGCAAATAAAGAAATTTTAATTTGACATTAGTCATTTTGGCGTTAACCGATCATGCTCGATGGGTGAAAGTCCTGGGCTGCTGGTGTGGCGTCCGCCGGCCTGCGAATCAGAAAAAAAAAACAAATTTAATTCCCCCTAAGAGAGTTCAGTTTGTTTTCCGAGTGACTTTTATCTCCGAGTTTCAAAGAAGGAAGTTGTTTGATTGTTTTTCATTAGATCCGGAAGTACTATTAGCCTTCATTAGTTCGTGTAATGCAATTTGAAAGGTGCTGCTGTTTTTTGTTAAAGTTACAAGCTTTTGTGGGACTCGTGACCTACTTGGTACTAAGTGGTTATGGGAGCACGATTATTATTATAGGACCCTCGAAGATATAATAACGCGGAACCTACCATATTAAAGTCGAAATCTACATTGTATAATATTATAATGCTACTGTTCCAGTCTTGAAACAGGTACAAATGAATACTCAAATACGTCCTAAGTGACCTCTTGTGAGCCCGCACGGGTAGGTACCACCGCCCTGCCTATTTCCGCCGTGAAGCAGTAATGCGTTTACCGTTGTAACTGTACTGAGACCTTAGAAGTTATTATCTCAAACTGGGTTAATTTACGTTGTAGATGTCTATGGGTTCCAGTAACTACTTAATACCAGGTGGGCTGTGAACTTGTCCACCCATCTAAGCAATAAAAAAATTGGCAATTAAGTACCTACCTGCACCGGCTTATCCCTAATTACGTAAATAAAGTTCATAACCTTGCGCTTATGATTTTGATTACACGATGTTATTCCTTAATAAATAAATGTAGGTATATGAACACAGATAACGTCTCTGCAACATAAAAGTCCAAAAACATTACACAATTAATTAGGGGAATTAATGAGGATTTTCTCCGTTGTTACATAAACTCCGCTACAAGAGCAAATATTTTCGAGAACCAAATATCTTTGATATATATTTTAATTACGACAAGGCTCCGACACAGACCCCGTAGTACCAGATCCCGTAGTAGTCAGGACAGCTGACTAACCACTTGACTCGCGAGGGGTTCATAAGCGTCGAACTTAAGGCTTCGTCAAACAGAACGCGTAACTAGCGCGCGTCAGAGCGCTAATCTAACGCCGCGCTATGACGCCGAGATGTGTTGTACTACTATGGTAACATACCATCAAACAGAGCCCCAGCGCTATAGGTACGCAACGCTATGTCACGGCTTTGGGACTTTGGGACTTTGGGCTTTGACGTCAGGCGTTGTAATATTTTAAAAATTTAATTTTAGCGTCCGAGTGAATGTGTATTAAAATACTGGATAATGCCCGAAAATTTGATAGAAATAGTTAGAAAATACTCATGCTTATACAATGCCACATCTGAATCACTCGACATCTTAATACTTTTAAATTTTCACACTGCTATCGAAAGGCACTATGATTTGGCGAATGCGTTGCGTCAAGGATCGTTGGGCTCATCTAGTCAATACGTGTGACATGAAAAGAGCGCGATGTTAAAAAGGCAGCGCTAAGTACGTGTTCTGTTTGACGAAGCCTTTAGACAATACGAATATTCTGAGCGACGCTTAACTGTATACCAGTCAGCCGTCACGTTAACGTCGAGCGTGTCATTTGCCGACGATCACCCGACTATCTAGAAGTACACGAGCGCTCAACGATTTGTCAACGTCACGCGTCGAGTTTAGGATTATTGGATTTTATTGTACTCAGTACACAGTGCGCGTGGGAGAACGTTTTGTCTTTCGAAGCGATTGGTATGCCTCGTTTAAGCTTACAAGGTGTATGGCAACCGTTTTTGGATACTAGGATAGGTGATAACGCGCTAATAATAATAATTTTTACTGGTGGTAGGACCTCTTGTGAGTCCGCGCGGGTGGGTACCATCACCCTGCCCATTTCTGCCGTGAAGCAGTAATGCGTTTCGGGTTAAAGGGTGGGGCAGCCGTCGTAACTATACTTGAGACCTTAGAGAGGGTGGCGCATTTACGTCGTAGATGTCTATGGGCTCCAGTAACCACTTAACACCAGGTGGGCTGTGAGCTCGTCCACCCATCTAAGCAATAAAAAAAATGTCCCGGGAACATAGCGCTTAAGACCTATTTGGAATGCTTCAATAAGTGCCAAGCCCGCATCCCATCTGGCGTTAAATTATTACCAAAGTCTATAGACATAGCGCCATGAATGCCACCACTGACTTTAAAGCATGCGTGTCGTCATTTCAATCGTATTGTGGAATTGCAACCTTACCCTTGAAACGGGAACGCATGACTTCTTCGTGGCATATATAGTTAGGACACGCCATACCAATCGACCTACCAACCATTAATATGATAGCAAACACAAAAATAATTAAAAACAATTCTTATTAGAGAAATTTCTCGTAACGATCAAAAACTGTATATTGAGTTTTAATTATTAGAGTATGGTCCAAGTGGCGGATGAAAGGCGATTGCATGCAGCAGAGATGCGAATGTTGCGATGGATGTGTGGAGTAACGAGAATGGATAGAATACGGAATGAGTATGTTAGAGGAAGTCTGAGAGTGGCACCTGTGACAGAGAAGCTGAGGAGTGCGCGTTTGGAATGGTATGGACATGTGATGAGACGAAATGAAAATGAGGTTGTTAAGAGAGTGTTAACTATGAATGTGGAAGGATTTAGAGGAAGAGGTAGACCTAAGAAGAAATGGATGGATTGTGTGAAAGTCGATATGGGTAGGAGGGGAGTGAGCGAAGAAATGGTATATGATAGAAGAGTATGAAAGGAGCAAACATGTTGCGCCGACCCCAGTTAACTGGGAGAAGGGCAGGATAATGATGATGATGATGATGATGGTCCATAAAATTGTTTTTTTTCTTTCAGAATAAGCACGATGTTTAGTTGTGAAAAAAGACAAATTTAAGACGATACAGATCAAAAAAATATCCATGTACCTCAAGCGTCAGGATTGCGTAAATTTACAATACGAATAAAGGATACAACAAGAGTTCAATTATCCAGTTCACAATCAGTCCCGCAGTCAATTAAGGTGTGTTCGCGCCAGGTNTTTCAGAATAAGCACGATGTTTAGTTGTGAAAAAAGACAAATTTAAGACGATACAGATCAAAAAAATATCCATGTACCTCAAGCGTCAGGATTGCGTAAATTTACAATACGAATAAAGGATACAACAAGAGTTCAATTATCCAGTTCACAATCAGTCCCGCAGTCAATTAAGGTGTGTTTGCGCGCCAGGTTTTAAAAAATAAAAACCTCAATCCCTGATGGAACTGGATATAACCTTAATATTCTCCATTAATTTCCCACGAGAACACAACATAATGTATATTTGGGCTACAAGCAACATATTTTATTGGTGTAAAAACACTAGCAAAGTAGGAATTAATTTCGGTTCTAGTTTGAAAATCATATTGCTTTAGCGATCAGAGGAGATTTCTGGATTCTAAAGCGTATTAATTTTCACAAACTTTATTTTTGCTCGAGATAATGTCAAAGCTCGAATTATATCATCTAACGGCTGGACTGCCCTTTAAATCGAAGCACGCGGCTGCTTCGTGGCAGAAATAGACATGATTATGGTACCTAGTGGCCTGGGCTCAAGATGCGTCAAAAATTCTTTCTCAATCACTATGTCAGAAGAGAGATTGGCACCAACTCGTAGCTACAACGTGAGTCTCATTTTATATTCTTATAAGGTTCTTAGTGCACTTATAAGGTTTTTAGAGCACGGTATCCGATCTTCTGTAGACTAAAGCTCTAGGGAGTAGAGACATAATCTCTTTAGAGAGTTGGAAATCGGAATCTAAATTCTGAAACCTCTTTCCATTTTCTGATTAAATTCATTAAGCTGCCTAAGAAAGAAGAGCTCTCCCCCGGGTGAACTGAATCTGATGTTGCAGGCTTTTCCTGTGTTTGCCGCTGTGAAACTTGACTACTTAGGGATTGTTTGTGGGAATGAGTGGCTGGCAAATACAAACATATTTATATTAGAAGATTAGGTAGACAGATCATCTCTGGAGACCATCACGAGCATTGAAACATAAAAATCTACTACATCAAGACTTACTTTCGAATTTAACTTCTGCGGATGCGAACTTTTCAATAAACTCGTGAGAAAGGATTTCGCTGTAACATCGGGAGGAACGCCTACAGGGAAAAGTTCATAGCTGCAAAGAAGGATCGGAGCTTTTACAGCATATTTTATAGGTTCGCCACCTATCCTACTCTAAGCTCAAAAGAAGACACGGTATTTTCAGATGCATCAAATTTAAAATTATATAGTAAATTTGTAATTCCCTATTATCGTATTGCATATTAGATATTTCAATAAAGGCATTTGTGGCAGGAATTCGACGGAGTTAGCTAATCATTTAACAATAGTGACGTCTTAGTTTAGTGTACTAACCCACACGCAAACAAACAAATCAACTAATAAACTAAGCTAAACTATAATTAAGCTGTTCATTTCTAACATAATTTTGTGCAACTCCTGCAAATACTTTTTTTTTTTATTGAAAGGTTACTGGTGGCCCGGAGGCCTTTCCAGTTTCACCAGGACAGGTGGGCGAGCAAAGGCTCAGTCAGAAGGGGTGGGATTTGCTAACAGCTGCCCGAGCGCCTCCGAAAGAGACCTAACAACTCAAGAGCAACTGCTTCGCGAATGAATCTACTGCCGGATCGGAATCGCGACCCGCTGAGAAGATCCGGCGAGAAACTCAGCGAGCTGATGCATGGGTTAGGTTGTACGTCGACCTCTTTGTCGAGTTCGACGAGTACGGTTACCGGCTGAAAATACTGACATGATGACCAGCGACGGTGACCACGAAAACTGTAAAGTATTCGAAATGTTATAAACAATACAAAAACCCGAACGCTGAGGGTGCAAGACGGTCCTAATATTGACGCACTTGAAATGTGGCGTTGGAGACGTCTCCTCAGAATTCCGTGGACCGCACACCGTACCAACGTTTCGTTCCTGAAAGAGCTCAACATCCAGAAGAGACTATTATCAACAGTCCAAATACGAATCCTTAAGTTCTTCGAACACA